TCTAGAGATAATAACTGAGGTCAGATGGTATACCATGCCTGATTGGCAAGGAAACCCCAAACGACAGTAGAGGTGATTATGCCTTTGTAAAGTTGTAAGACACAAGGTGGCCTAGTGACTAAGAGCCATGATGTCTGGGCAGGATGGTTTTTTCAAGATTGAGATAGCTTGACTGCAATGAGGCCTCGTCCTGCCCTCTTATATATGATCAATTCCCAGCTTTAGCAGCTCCCAACATATCTCCCTTTTTGTTTTGTTGTGTGCATGATGGGTATTACCTTGCAGTTGGAGAAGCTGTGTCTGCAAAATTCTTTAGAAGGCCTTTTCCTTTCTTTTTCTTTTTTTTAGGAAAGGGTCTACGGGGTGTTCAGAGTCTACCAGATCAGACTCAGTGATCTGCCTATTTACAAGAGCTGGGATTACAGGTGCGCAGCACCACACCCAGTCTCAGTCACCATCTCAGCTCGCCCTGGGGGCGGGCCAGCACGCAGGCTGGTGATCCAACCTGGTGGATGCACTCTACCTAAGCAGGCACTTTAGTCTGCTGAGCTATCAGGCTGGCCCAATTGGAGTAATTTAAATCATGTTTTGAGTAGACTAAACTATAACTTTGAGTTTTCTCTATATAATCAGCACTAATGACACCAAGCAAAACTCAGAAACCTCTTTGTACTGAGGCCCCGCCACAGTTGCTGCCTTTACTCTGTAACGTTGGGGCAGGGTGAGCTGCTAGCAGTGCCTAGATTGTGTTAGTACTGGAAATGGATTCCTTTGCCCACATTCCACCCTCCCAAGAGTCAAGGGGGCTGTGGCCCTGTAGCCATGGCTGATGTTGCAGCCATGGGGTGTGCCAGCTGTCCGTCTGGCTCTGACTGCTGGATGTTTTGTGTTTGCCGGGGTGGCAGTGTCTTGAGCCTAACAAAGTTTCTTTGCCCGCAGTGCACAGAGCCAGTGCCAAGGCCATGGTGTGCCCCAGTCGTGACCATGTACTTAGCACCAGGACTGTAGTTGGTGGGTGCTAACCTCCGCAGCTGGACCAGGCGTGTGGTCGCGCAAGTGGCTGGGAAATCCCAGCGGGGTTTGCCTGTGCTAGAGCACAGGGCTCTCCCTGAACCCAGTTTGTGCCTCCCGCCAGAGGCGCTGCTCGCCTGGAGCCAACTGCTCCCAATTTAGAACAACTTTTTCTTTTTTTATCTAATTGAGCGAAGCTAGAAGATTTAAACTGTCTGCTGTTCTTTTATTCCACCCTCCATGTCTGTTTGGCACTTGATTTTAAAACAGTGCTCCAAGCTAGGTCCTTCGTGGTGGGCTTAGGTAGTAACATAAATATAGGAACCAAGAAAACAACATTTTTCCATATGTCTAGATACATCTATAACCATCTGTGGTTTTTCATATATATTCTGAAGTCAGTAGACCTCCATGCCTCATGTTTTTCACCTGGTAATTGTCAGTGTAACATTCCGGTGCTACCTATTGACCCATCAATCCCTTCCCCCACCCTGTTGCTGGCAAAATTCTGGGGAACATCCTCCCACCTATCAATATCACCTTAACAGGAGTGCCTGGTGAGAGCGCCAAATGTAGGGGTTTGTTGGTGTCTCTGTGATCCCCGGAAGAAGACAGCAAGAGGATTTAGAAAATAAAGACCAGAGATAATAGATAATAGCTGAGGTCAGATAGTGGACCATGCCTGATTGGCAGAGGACCCCCACCCCTGCAGAAACAGTAGGAGTGATTATATGTCTGCAAAGCTGTAAAATACAAGGTTGTCTCATGCCTGATAGCCCACAGTGTGTGGGCAGGATGTTACTCTTCAAGACTGAGTTAGCTTGACTGCTTTAAGCAGTAGGGCCTTGTCCTGCTCTCCCACTGATTATCAGCTTCCAGCTTTAGAGGCTCCCAACAAGGCGGGGGGAGAATCAGTCTTCTACTAAAGTAATAGAGTAGTTTTTGTTTGTTTGTTTGTTTAGTTTTTAATTTTTTATTTTGTGGTGCTGGGGGCTGAACTTGGGTCTTGTACATGGTAGGCAAACACTGTACCGCTGAACTACCTCCTCAGCCCTGGTAATGCTCTTTTTAGACTGGCCACCCACATACATGTTTCTCACATTTCTCATTACAAGCAGGAATGAACACAGCTCAAATCCATGAGAAAAGAGGACCCCAGGATTAAGCTGGTGTTTGCTCAGGCAGTCAGTAAGTGAGGAGGGAAGGTGACCTGTGTGCTGTCTGTCTGGGGACTGTTTGCTGTAGGCAAGGGTAGCCGCATGTCTAGATCATGCCATGTCCAGTTCTGACCACTGGAGGGGGCGAAAGCTTGCTTTCTAGCATCGCCACAGACAGGATGGAAACAGATTGCTCAGTCCTCGGGGTCAGACTCAGACTGCCAGCCTCACACTGAAAAAGGTTTGTCTTACAAAGTTCCTGGCAGCTGGGGAAGAGAGGAGGCAGTAATGCCCCTGAGCCGCTCTATCATGGCAGGAGCTTTCACCTCCATAACCTTGATTAAACCTCTTCCCAGCAGCCCCAGGACGGGGTGATTTTCACTCCTCATTTTGTAGACCTCAGTCTTGGAGATCCAATTAATTTACACTGAGAAAGACTGACTCAAGTGGAATTTGAAGCAAGGTTATTAGCCCTCTGATCACTCCAACTTTCTTTCTTTTTTTTAACTTGAAACTGGTTTACTTGCCCTAGATTGACAAGTATTTTTGGAATTGGTTTGGTTTAGTGGAAATAGCCTGGGGCCAAGAATAAAACCAAGAGAAATGCATTTTGGTCAGCTTTGTTGGTAACTAGCTTCATAACAACAAGTTCATTACTTATTTTCTCTGTGTGTTGGTTTGTTCATCTATAACATGAAAAAGATGGCGGGTCTGCCTCAGGGCGACTAAGAGGGTAGACTGAGTAATCACTTTACAGCCCTTCACTGTGGGGAGGAACTGCTGAGGAGTACGTCTTCGTTTTGCGGTGGGCAGAGGTAATTCACACTTAGCCTTCCCGGTCTTCCCTGCTCATGGCTTCCTTCACCCAACGCAGGGCAGCTACAGCTGCTGACTTGTACTTTCCAGCCCTTCTAGCCCAGGACTTTGATCTGGGCACTTCTGGTGTGTACTCTGATCTTGTTCCCTCCCTAGCTCGAAGAGCAAGAGCAACACACTTGCATCCTGCCTTACTAAGTGTATAGAAATGTGCATCAGAATAATAAAACCATTTACTTCTGGGGAGGAGGAATGGAGGCGATAAGATAGCATAAATGATGCACAGGATGCTTTAGCTGTTATCTGTAAAGCTTTCTGTTTGCTTTTCTGAGATAAGGTCTCACAATGTAGTTCAGCTGGCCTTGAACTCATTATGTGACCCCTGCTGGCCTCAAACACATGACAGCACTGCTGCCTCAGTCTCCTCATAGGCATGTATGACCATGCCTGACAAACTGTTTCTTTGTAATATTTTACTTAAAGAAAACTGAACAAAAATATCCCAAGTGTTAAGATATTTTTTTTCATTGTAATGAGAAAAAAGGATAAAATAGCAGTGAAACACTTTCTGAACAGATTAGTAGGACAGTTACAATAATTAATACATTTCACGTTTTCTTGGTTTTAGTTAGTCAGAGGACAAGATGCAGACATCCAAGTGTTAAGATTTGATGGAGGTGGATACTGATTGCATTGGTGGTGTTGTAACATTGTATCATTTTTGTATGTTTGAAATTGTTCCTAAATTTTTAAAGAATTTCATAGTTTAGAAAAATGTTATCATAGGCAGAATGGTGGTGCAAACCTATAATCCCAGCATGCAGCAGGTTGAGGAAGGAGGATCTCTTAGTTTGCATGCAGCCTGGGTTATATAGTAAGACTTTTGACTCAAGAAAACCAAACAAGAAAGAAAGAGAGAGAAGAGGGGAAGGGAGGGGATGGAAGGGGAGAGGAGAGGAGAGCAGAGGAAAAGAAAGGAAAAGAAAGGTTATGAACAACCCAAGTGATAGCCAGTAACCTGGCTCCTTTCTACTTCATGGTCCGAGCTGGGGTACAAGTTTGAATCCCCTCCTCCAGGGGCATTGTCACCATGTCCGCCGTCTGACTGTTCTTCTAAGGCTAAGACACAGAATAACTCACCAGTGCTACCAGAGCATCTCAAAGTCCCAGCAGTGCTGTGTACCTCATTCCCCATTCAGGACATTGTTCTGTGGCTTCTGTCGTAGAAAACACTGGCTGGTGTGTAGGCAGACACCAGTTTGCACAAGTAGCCTATGTAAGAGTGACCACATAGGACTGCCACAGTCTGGACTCCACATGGCTCTAGTGGGCGTCCCCGCCCTGCTAAGCCTCAGAGCCCACTCTGGGTATCTGGACCATTGTCTCAGATCAGCCTCAGAAACCTTTAATTTTGCCCTAGGTGATAGCATGATGTCATCAAATAGCCAGGTGCCTTCCTGAAGGAAGGTGGAGCCACAGTCACCCCTCCAGTGCATTGAACCTGACTCTGCCTGACTGTGCTGAGCGAGCAGTAACTCTGTTCCCATCTCTGCTGCCCACTTAGGCTCTACCACATCACGCTCTGGACCTTCTTCCTCGCCCTGGGCCACTTCCTCTCTGAGTTGCTCGTGTTCGGAACTGCAGCTCCCACCATTGGTGTTCTGGCACCCCTGATGGTGGCAAGTAAGCACCCCACTGCCCCCGATGTGCAGCAGCCAGCCCAGCACTGGGGCTGTGCAGGAATTCTAAGCAGGAGGCTGAGTTTGTGTCCACCACTCCTCTTTTCTGTGTGTTTAAGGTTTCTCAATCCTGGGCATGCTGGTTGGGCTCCGGTACCTGGAAGCAGAGCCTGTGTCCAGGCAGAAGAAGAGGAACTGAGGCCAGCTTCACTGCCTCCAGGATGCCATCGTCTTCCACTGCAGCTGTCTCCTGCCTTCCTCCTCTTCTCTTTAATTTCTTTTTTGGCTCCATCCTCAGCCCCTTTACCACTTTTAGCCTCTGCAAATTTTTCTGGCTTTTGTTTTCCATTTAAAAATTTTTAAGATGTGTCATGCACATCTTACAGAAAGCACATCACACATCTGTATAATTTGAAGATAATTTTAAAATTGATACTCTCCCTAACAGCGTCCAAGTCCAGAAATTCCACACTTCAGAAGCCCACTGGGTCTTTCCCCGCCTGCAACCACTGTACACCCCAGGCTCCCATTTCTGAAAGCCTTCCACTTGTTTTCCTTTTATTTCCATTCCTTGTTTGATTTGTGGGCTGAGAACATGGAACTGTGACACTCACAGCTGCTGCCTGCCCCAGCAGCTGTGACCAAGGGCTGCTCCCTGGTGGTGTCCACGTGCGTCAACTCCTTTCTGCAGCTGGACCTGAGACTCAGCTGTGCTGGGGACAGGCAGCGCTTCCTAGGAGGGCTCCTCTCACCCACAGGCAGAGGAGGGTTGGAGGAGTCTGGGCTATTTTTAGACCTTCAGGTCAGCTCTATTTGTGTAACAAATTTTGTAATTAAAAAACAAAACAAAAACCTCTGCTGTCCTCATACTTTAATCTCCTCTAAGGCCAGAACAGCCCAGCCCTGCTGGAACCTGTGCTAAGAGGGTCACAGCTTTGTGTCTGATCAGATCCACCACTTGAGGACAGCTCAAGAGTCAGGTAAGTGCAGCTGGCTCCACACCACCTGTTCCTCACTGTCACTTGTGCACTTTCTCTCTTCCTTTTTCCCTTCTTCTCCATACTGGGGATGAAGTCAGGATTTTTGTACTGAGCCACATCCCTGGTTGCGCTCTCTCTATATCTATATCTAGGAACAAGGTCAAAGTTGCTAAGTTGCCCAGGCTGGGCTCACACCGGCAATCCTGCACAGCTGCCCAGGGTGTTAGAATTAGCAAGCATATGCCACCATGCTGAATTTCTTGCATAGTTAAAATCAAATCTTCCTCTACTTGTCCATCTCATCAACGTTCTAAGTTCACAGCTCAATGTCAGGACCTTTTCTTACTTTCTACCTAAAGAAATGGGTTCCTGAGGATGCAGAGATGGAGCAAAGAATTAGCGTGAACAACTAGCATAGTTGTGTGACTATGGATGCCCAGCAGCACGCAGCTTCCCTCCACTCCCGGATGCACTTCCTGGCCACGGTCCACACTGGGTGTACTGGAAGGGCCACTTGTTATTTCAGCAAGTGTTTACTGAGTATTTCTCGTGCTGGACACTTGGGAAAGAAATTGACAAATGGGCAAACCCAGCTTCTGCACGGGCTATGCTGTAATCATGGCAGCAGAGTCCATAAGTGAGCCACAGAAGAACTTCCAACAGTGAGAAAAATCCTGCAGAGAACAAGGTATTGCAAAAAATCCAAAACAACAAGGTGTTTGAACAAGAGGAAGGAGGTGAGGGATATGGAGGAATAGGAAACCTTTCCCTGAGGTGGTGGGATTTTAGGAGACTCAAAAGCTCTGGGGTTGATGTCTTGAGCTGTAAAGTGAGCCCTGAGGGCCAAGGGAGCCCCTGCTGGAAGGCAGTCTGTTCAAAGAGTGAGCTCTGTGCGGTAGAGTGTGAGGAAGTGGAAGTGAAGGAGGCAGAGGTGGGCAAAGGTATGAAGGGCAAGCAGCCTTTACACTTAAACACATTGGGAATTCGTCAGCCCCCCAGCCCAGCAGCACTGCACATTGAACCCAGAGCCTTATACAGTTTAGACAAGCGTTCTATCACCGAGCTACATCCCCAGGCCTTACAGCAGCTGTTCAGGTGAAAGGAAAGCTCTTCAGGTTTTCTTTACCCAGGAAAGAAAACAGGGCTGACATAAGGAAGAAGTTATGAGGATCACAGTCTTCACGAATGGTTTGATTTGGACTTCAGCTCCGGTTCTCTGTGAGTCGGCTTTGCCTGACTGGGTTGGCCTCCCCCTCAGGCTAATACTATGGCGCCAAAAGTGGATGCAAGATTCTAGGCTGCAAAGCAGCTTCATGGTAGGAACTATCTATCACTATTAAAAGAAGGCAGCAAGGAAAGCAGTGACCTTATAGAGTTTCTATTTGAGTGCAGATCTACCTGGAAGCCACCAGAAAGAGCCAAAGTCTAAAATGTAGCACCTCTATGCATAGCTCTAAAGAGATGATGTAGGTAGGGAGTTCAGCTGTAACAGCCCCGGCTGGAGTTTGTGCCCCCACCTCACCCCACCTCACCGGTGATTTAAAGTAGAATAGGGATGGGGTAAAAAGAATCAAAATGTGTGTTATTAGCTAAGTGTGGTGCTGCACACCTGTCACCCCAACACTCAAGAGGCTGAAGCAAGAGGATCACCTTGGGTTCAGGGCCACTGTAGGCTAAACAGTGAGTGCGAGTCTAGCTTCAACTGCATAGTGACATGCTGTCTCAAAAAAACCAAAAAAGACATACACATAGCAATTCCCCATAGTGAATGTGATGGTTATGTATTGCAAGCATGTACTAATAACCGTTTTAAATACCTGAAGTAGGATCATACTGTCTAGCTACTCCTGGTTATTGCAACTAAGAATTACTAGCAAATATGGTACTAGAAGGCCACAGGCATAGTGCAACTCTAGGGAAAAAACATACAGGAAACAGATCTAAGCAGCCTCTCCAAGTCCCAGGGGTCAGCGGAGCACCATGGGGTGGGAGGAGTGACAGTAAGGAGGACAGTTCAGAAGGAAATCCGGTGACGTAGAACTGCGGATGCTGGGGCCAAGCTGTGGATTCTGGCCAGAGCAAGCTGGTGCACAGCCGGCATGATCACAGAACAAACATTTCAGCCACCTTTGAGGCAGAGCCAGAAGCAACAAGGGGCTGTCTCGTCAGCAGTCGCATTCCCCTCTGTACACACTGGGGGAGGAGGCCAGGGTCACTTGTTGGCCACTGAACTGCAGTATCCCACGTAAGCAGACAGAAACTTTTACATCTTTATTTTTTATTTATATTTTGGGACAAGGACTCTGTGCTGCTCAGATTGGCCTCAAACTAAACACTCCTCTAGTCTTAGCCTCCTCAGTAGCTATGGGTATGTACCACTACACTCAGCCTCGGTCTAAAAAAACCCACTCATGTCTGCAGAAGACACAGATCCTTCTGTGCAAGGCTGCAGTTGCTGTTTTCCTGGCCTTGACCATCCCTGTCCCCTGCTGACCCCTCACCTCAGATACAGCCCTCAGAAATACATGGGAAAGTGACGCGGGAGATAGCCTAGAATAAGCACTTGCCTGGCAAGCATGAGGGCCTAAGTTTAATCCCTGGTTCCTACAAAAAAGAAAAAAAAAGAAATAACATGGGAGGGATAGCCAGATAGCTCAGCTGACAAGAGTTCAGTCACCCGGTGTGCCATGCCAGCCCCACCTCCAGGGTGCACTGAGATGAGACAGACTGGGTGTGATGGGGTGCACCTGTAATCCCAGCATGTGAGAGGCTGAAAACAGGATCACTACAAGTCTGTTTTGTGTAGTAAGACCCTGCACTAAACACATAAAAAAGAGGAGAACCTCATGGGACTGCCAACAACCACTGCTGCCCCACCAAATGACCATGCAGACCACTTTGACAACACTTTATTGCCTCAAAAAATGGTATCACAAACAGGAAATAGAACTTGTGGTTTGAAAATAAAGCCATGGAGCTCCAGTGGCACAGTCGATTAGCACGCAGTAATTATACTGAAAATAAAGCCATGGATTCTGTAAGTATGCTGTTAATACCTTCTGAGGGGCTAAAGAATAAACATCTGTCTCCTGTCAAAAAGTAAGGCACGTCTCCCTTCTCCCCCAGCACTCCTGTCACTTGAAGACTAGAGCTTTTATCACGCACACAGCATTCCATCCTTTGCTTGGCTCTACGCAAACACACACACCTCCTCCCACCCACCAGGGCCAACAGCAGCACCCAGCCAGCCCAGCTGCTTCAATGTGCTGAGGCAAGGACTGTGGCCAAAGCCAGCCAGCACGGTGGTTCCTGCCACAGCTACTCAACACTGGAGAAATTACTAAATTCTTGTTTCAGGAGACATTACTGAAGCCTATGCAGAGAGCCAGGCAGCAGGTTAGACAGACAAGGTCAGCTTGACTTAGTTAAAGGGGATCCCTTTAAATGTACAGTATCTTGTAGGGAGCCGCTGAAGCTGGAAATTGCTCATACGTGGGAGGGCAGGACAAGGCCACAGTGCCTAAAGCAATCAAGCTGCCTCCGTCTTGAAAAAAGCAGCCTGCCTGCTTTTAGGCAATGTCAGCTATTAGTCACTAGGCAACCTGTATCACGTGACACTAACTTTGCAAAGGTATAAATAAATGTCCCTACTGTTGTTCTGGAGGTTACTTGCCATCTAGGCAACCAGCCACTGGGGACCACCAAGAGACCAGCAAATCCTACAATATCTGATGGGAGTCTGCTAGCAGAAGATGGGGAGGGGGGTATACAAATGCCATCTCTCCCCCCCGCCGCTCCTCCCCCCAGAGGCAGAACGTGGTTCACCAACCAGAGGCAATGCCCATTTCAAGAAGCACCTTTCAGGCTACATCCGTCCTCTTAACTCTCAGAAGCAGCCTTGGACTTAGTCCTTTAGTGTAGATCTCATTTTCAGTGAACTTCACAGTGAGGTTGGCTATGATTGTTCCCTTGGGATAAAACACACACTTAGGTGATGGCAGTGTCTCAGTGCAGTGTCCAGATAAGGGCATATGGAGTGCCCAGGACACACAGAAGTACCTGGATAGGAACTTCTCTTGTAGGAAAAGTACCTTTCCATGCCAGGAAGGTAGTTAACCTTCCTAAGTCAGTTTCTTTGTTATGGCCACAACAAAATACTGGTGAGGTTTATTGATATTTGGTTTGATCAGCTTATAGGAGAATTTGGAGATAGATCCCAACATTAGACAGATCCCAACTGGGGCCGAGGGTCCTAACGGAGTCGCCCTGTGAGGCTGTTCCCTGTGAACAGTCCCTCTGATCACTCAGGAATGACCCTCCTCAGAGCTGGGCTTCTGGTAAGGCTCTTAAGACACAAGAAAAAGTTCATGACCTGAATGAGCTTTCTTCCTGTGATAATTTTGTAAGCATTCTCCCTGAGGGTGAAGGTGATGATGGAAGGCAAGGGGCCAAGACCGGCTGACTCTAGGACTGTCGCCCTCCCAACACTGCCACCCATCAGCTCCTCAAAGGTTGGTAATGCAGCCTGTTTGATGAAAGGTGCCAACCAAGCTCTCAAGAGGTTCCCAGAGGTGTAGGCACCACACAAGCCGCAAATATTTCCGCTGGTACCCTCCTAAAGCTCCAGCGAAGGCCTGCGTGCTGGCCGCGAAAGCTGAGCTGAGTAAGAGGTGGGGTGTTTGTGTTCCTGAGCCACCACCGCCTCTCTTGCTCAGAGATGAACTTCTGATATCACGGTTGGCGCCTTGCTGGTGTTGCTGTCCTCCTGTTGGGCTTTCTGGAAGGCAAAGCAGGTAGATAAAAGGCACAGGATGTTAGGCCAGGCAGAGCAACTGCCTGGCCCTGACTCCAATCAGTAGGGCAGAGCCAGGGGCCATTCTGTATCCACATCTGCACGAGCAAACAGCCAACGAAGCAGCAGCCCCCAGCCCCTGCCTACGTGTACTCCGCAAGCACTGCTCCCCGCCAGCACCACTCCAAGGAATAAAAAGCAGGTTTCCCATTGAAGCACGACAAGCACAGAGCATCCCATTCAGATGTCATCCCAAACTAAACTGGATGGAAACAGAAGAAAAGCCCAACTTTCCCTTCCCATTTTGAGGGACAAGAAGTCACCTTCATGCACCACCAACCAACAGTAAAAGAAGGTTTTTTTCATTTTGTTTTTGAGACAGAGTCTTACTATGCAGACTTGAACACATTATGTAGCCCAGGCTGGTCTCAAACTTGCAGCAATCTTCCTGCCTCAGCCTCCTGAGTGCTGGGATTAGGGGCATGTGCCACCACGTCTGGCTATGCTACCTTGCCTGGCTACAAAGGGATTTTTTTTTTTTTTTTTTTTTTGGCAGAATCAGGGATTGAACTCAGGCCCTTGCGCTTGCCAAAGAAGTGCTTATTCCACTGAGCCATCTTCCTGGCCCCACAAAGGGAAATTTTTAAAGGCAGTCTGCATAACTGCCACCTTAACACAGCATATTCATACTTTATGGAGAGGAAAAAGACTTCACGTTAGTTTGACCTTGGTTTTCTCAAGGAGGAATGGCATAGACTTCAGGGAAGAGACCTCCAGGCCACACTCATCTGGTGGGTTTGGAAGCAGATATCGCCTAGAAATTAGCCTGCGGGGTCCTTGGCACATACCACAAACTTGGGTGTTTATCCTTCGCCTCTTCCAACAGGGGTCTTCTAATTAGCAGGAAGGCTGTGAGCAGAGCCCCAGCCTGCACAGCCAGCACCACATCTGGCCAGAGGAGCATGTGCAAGGCCAGCCAACAGTGGCTGCCTTCTTCCTCAGGGCACCTCATGGCCAGGCAACAGCTGTGGAATCTAACCTTCCCTCGTCAGACCTGCTAACCTTTGCACTATAGTCAGTCTCAACCAGGAGGAACCTTCATTGAGGCAACTGACAATAAGGAACGCAGCCTCTCCCTGAGCACACACACTCTTGTGTGTATGCTGGCCCGCCCCCGCCCCTGCTAAGCCATTGTGTGAGTTAGGTGGGTATAGGTGAAAATGCAGCCAGTGTCTATGTGCTGGAAGAAAAATGGAAAACCAAACTATGATTTTCATAGTCAAATTCAGTCATGACTCCTGCCCTGGTTCAGTCTCTTCTCAGCCAAGCTGTCTTTCTCCCGGATGTACAAGAAGACAGATCTGGCTAGATCTGCTGCATGCTCTGTCTTGTCTGGCTCTGACAGTGTATTTGTTTATGAGTTACACTGACCACAATGGGCATAGAATGCCAGGGCTCTAGCGGAGGGATGCTCTGTGACAGCCACAGCTTCCCTGGTGGCAGTCCCAACACAACTCTGGCTTTCTCTTAATACTAAGTAGCTTCAGATGCAGTGATGTCCAGGCATGCATGATGGATTAGCTGGGGACACAAGACAGTCAAGCTCCACTACTGCAACTTTAGGCTTCTATTTCCATCCAGGGTTACTTCTAATAACCCCTAGTCAAGGAGACAGCTAGTCACTGCAACCAACTTTGATTAACAAACCTGGACCATGTGCGCAAGGATCTGGCTGCAAGAATAATGGAATATTCAAACTGCAGCGCTATACAAATGAAGAGAAATATACATATAGCTATCTGTGGAAGAAGAGAGGGAAAGGAAAAGAGATATGAGGTTGAGTGTGTAATCGTGTAGCAAGTTCATCGGGTTCATTAAGCAAATGTACAGAGTAGAAAACAAAGCATACACAACATGCCCACAGATTATAACATTGGCAAGTGGACTAAGATGCCCCTAGGGTGCCTCTGGGAGGTAGAATTATGGGTAGCTTCTATTTTTTTCTTGTTTGCTTAAACATCTACCAGTATAAACACAGATTATATAAAACAACTAGCAAAATCTCATATCACCTGATGTGCTATATCCCAAGCTAAATTGGAAACTGCTCACCTCCAATGTGTCAGGAACAATTAGAAAAAACCTTTAATGCTCAGATAAGAAAACTGTTAAACCAAGGCTTATTCATATAATGGAACACTATGCAATCATTAAAAATACATTGCAGAAGTCTAATGATAGCCTGATAATGCTTGTAGTAAAAAAAAGATCGATTATATTTTTGCTTTAAAATATATGTGATTAAATATGTGGGCATAGATATGCATAAATTAATATAAAAATAATAATGTTTCTAAATGATGGAAATTGTGAGGTGATTTTTTTTTCTATATTTAGGACAGAGCCTACAGGGTCTACAGGGACTTACTACGTAGATCGGACTTCTAGTGATTCTCCTGTTTTCAGCCTCCCAAGGGCTGGAATTACAGGTGTGTGCTGCCACATCCAGTCTCCATCGCCCTCTCAGCACACCCTGTAGGTGGGGCCAGCACGGGAGGCCCAGGATCAAACCCTGGCCACTGCACACTGCCTAAGCAGACGCTTTGGTCTGCTGAGCCTATCAGGTCAGCCCTTGTAAGGTATTTTTAAGGTTTTGCATTTATTGTGGTTTCAGTTTTCATACAAAGACTATATACTGTTTTAGAATGAGTTGGCTTAATTTTATGTTTTAGTAAGAAATATCCTACTTTTACTCCTCAAAGTTGCAATTCTTTTTTCTTTGCCCAGCTGATTCCCCTCTCCCTCCTCCTTTCCCCTCTCCCTCTTCCTGTGCCCTCCCCCACTCTTAAGCTGGGGAATCAAACCCAGGGCCTCACAACTAGGCAAGGGCTCTATACAGAACTACCCTCCAGCCCTTGCTCAGAACTGAGGCTTAACATTTTAGTTTAAGTGGATCCCAGCTGATTAGAGTAGATGGGAAGCATTATTTAGCTTGAGATCATTTTCCTGGTACAATCCTCTCCACATTGCCATCACTGTCTACTTCATGACTTGTCCTTTCAGAGCCCTATTGGCAGCATGTTGGCTCCATCCCATGGCTCTATGTATGGGCTGCCACTTGCCAAGAGAGCCACTGCCTCAGTTCCACCATCGTGTGGCAGAGTGGTCCAGCCAGACTCCCACCTCTTCTCTCTGGCCACTAACCACAAGTGGACAACAATGCAGCCAGGCACTCAGGACTTGGCTCAGCATCCAGGGCTGCCACTGAGCACTTGAACAACAGTGATGTGCTCTAGAGACCTTGGCAGGGAAGCCAGGAGGTAGGAAGGAAGTAGCGAAAAGCCCAGAAAAGAGTGACAGAGAGTCAGTCCTGAACATCTATAGAGGGAATCCTGAGGCTGCCATGATTATGAGAGGAGAGCTGGTCTTACAGCCACCACAAAACTAGTCCCTGCAGGGCCGCCTCTCGACCCTACCTGCATTGCAACATCCTCATTACAAGCCCAGGGCCTAGATCCCTTGGCCACTAAGCTTGGCATACTCACAATCTCGGGAATTTCTTTGTTTGCCTTTTGCCTCCGGAGATCTGCCTTAATGAAAGCTGAAATTGAAAAAGAAGAGTGACAAAGAATCATCAAGCAGAGCCGATGGTCAGGCTCACTCCATAGAGGAAACCCTTGTTTTCTTAAAGGTCACGATCCCAAACCTACACACATATTCTAAAATGGATTAGACTCTCCAGGCAGAGTCCAATAAAGACGCTCTGAGGCCACTTACATTCGCTCTACACATACCATATTGCTCTAATCATCACGAGAAATCCTTGTTTTTTGGAGGTAGGAAACTAAGGAACCCACAGGGTTCCTTAGAGAACCCACCTTCTCACATATCAGGACTAGAAAATTCCAGTCTTGATTCCTTCCATCTGCTCCACACTTCTTACTGTTTTTGTGTCTATCATCTTACTCAGTCCTTCGAGGTTACTCATCTTTGTTTATAGGTGAAGAAACAGAAGGTTGGGACAGTCAAGTGACATGCTTGTGGTCAAGCTGAGTCCTGGACAATTTTTATTCCAAGAGCTGTGTGTGTACTTTCTATAGTTCTGTTTTGTTCCAAACAAAGCTAAAAGGGACCCCAAGCATTTCCAAGCATCCCAGAGATCCTGAACCCACAGGTTGTTCCACCTGCCCAAAGTCAATAGCCAGGGAAGTCAGTGTCAGAATGGATTCGAATGTGCGTCTTCTGACTCCAAAGCCCACCTTCATTCAACTAAAGCATGTCACTGCACCCAACAGATTTCCTAACAAGTCCTCTTGCATGTGTGCTCCCTGTTTGCATGATCAAGACACTGGGCCCTGTCTTGCCCACCCATCTGGAGCAGCCTGAGCCTCATCAGACCCTTAGGCCCCAACTCACCAGTAAGGGCCGACCCAAGGGCGAGGAACACACACAGGAAGATGTTCCCAGGCAAGGTTCCATACTTGTCAATAATCTGACCCTGGGAGATAGTGAAGATGATTCCAAACACCTGGAAAAACATAGGAAGATTGGAAAGAAGGGCCCAGCCAGCTGGGTCCCCGGCAGAACAGATTGGCCACAGTGCAATGCCAGCCCAGCGAGGAAGGAAACAGAGAAAACAAGCTCTACCTGCGCAGACACGTTGAGGAGGCCGGACGACATGCCCTCTGATTCTGGGTATGTGAGCTCCACGGCAAACTCGAACCCCAATGGGAGGTAGCCAGTCATGAAAAAGCTGAAGTCCACATCAGAGAAACAAAAGGATGGAGAGCTTCCAGGGCAAGGATGAGGGCCCACCTCCCTTAGCACTCCCTCTTCTATTCCTGTGAGGCAAGGAAGCCTGGTGCATTCCACATTCAGCTGAGAGACCATGGCCTGGGAGCATGGCCCTGAGTTGGGAGAAGTCCCCAGAGCTGGGGCAGCATCTCCAGGGCTCTCTGGGACCTGAAAGGAGGAACTTGGGGCCCTCCTTATTTTCCTATAGAGAGCAGGCTGCTGAGGATGAGCACCAGAGGTGTCACTCCCTTGCCCTCTCACACTGAGATATGCACACAGATACACTCACACAAAAGGAAAAAAGCTGGGAAGAGAGGAGCAAAGGCCTTGATTTTACTCAAGCTATTTCCTATACCTTCTCACATATCAGGACTAGAAAATTCCAGTCTTGATTCCTTCCATCTGCTCCACACTTATTATTGTTTTTGTGTCTATTATCTTACCCAATCCTTCAAGGGTGGAGGTTACTCATCTTTGTTTACAGGTGAAGAAACAGAAGGTTGGGACAGTCAAGTGACATGCTTGTGGTCAAGCTGAGTCCTGGACAATTTTTATTCCAAGAGCTGTGTGTGTGTACTTTCTATAGTTCTGTTTTGTTCCAGACAAAGCTAAAAGGGACCCCAAGCATTTCCTAGCATCCCAGAGATCCTGAAGGGCAATTCATGCTTCCCTCCATCTCAACGGGACACATCAGGCTGCTGAAGTGCCACAAGTGTTACCAAGGTCCCTACAGACCCTTCCCACATTTCCTGAGGTCAGCAAGAAGGCAGAAAAGGAGGGGGCGATGTATCCTGTGATGCTGGCGGTTCCTGAAGATGTGGACAGAGCTTTCCAATTTAATAGGTTGGAGGTGGCACTCACCCCAATGTGCCAGCGGTGACGAACACCACCCACAGGTGCCCCAGCTTCAGGGTCAACGTGTAGATCACCATGCCCACCAGAGTCATGACGTACACCACCAGGGTTGTCTGCCTGGAAGCAGAGGCACAGACACTGAGTTAGATCCTTCAGACTTTAACGAGACCAATTATTTATTCACAAGTATCTGGTGAGCAGCTGCTGGCTATGAAGCTCCCTGCAATGAGCCAGGACATTGCTTTCACAGAGTTGTCCTTCTGTAGGTGTGCTGAACGCTGAACCAATGACCACCCAAATGGTTACCTCCTTTTTAGCCTGTGTAGACAAGCGCTCTTCCTCCAGAACCCTCTCCATACACTGCCCCTTAGCTTGGCACATCCTATTGATAGGCACCATGCACACAACCCTTTTCTTCCCCTATCTTCCACCAAGAAAAAATAAGCAAGACAAATAGCAGCCATAGTGAGACGACAGTAACGTTCAGGACTACCCCTGTGCCACTGATTGCTGCCTGTTTTCTTGGCCCTGTGCCCTCATGCTGGGTGAGTGATCCGACTACCAGATGCTCTCTGTCACCAGCAGTTCCTCCAGTTGCACTTGGCAACCCAGCATGGCTTTTCCCGCTGAGTTGGAACTACTGTGCTGCAGACACGAGAACTAAGAGAAGACATGCCCTAGCCTTAGCCCGGAAGCACCAGACTCCAAAGCCAAAGTGAGTCGCCTCTGCCCACACCCTGTTACCTTCTGCTTTTTTACTTCCCCCAGAAGCAGAGTTAGCAAGTCCTGAGTTCTGTCAGGCTCAGCTCTGCCGCACCCCTCCACACTCTTCTCTCCCCACAGAGCCCATCAAGGACACTGTGATAGCCCTGTCCCAAGAAACCAGACCTACACTCTCCCCTCTGTATCCTACTGTCCCCTGCCTTGAACATAAGGAATCAGACAGGAAAGCTCAACACCTGCGCACATCTCCCCTGAGGCCAGAAAGGTAGGGGACCATGGAACACACCACATTTTGTGTCAAGCTGATGTCTACACTTACGGAGTATCAGATTGTTAGGCACTTTGTAAGCATTTCCTTCTTTCTTTTTCTTCTATATTTAGTACAAGGTCTACAGGGTCTCACTACACAGATCTGACTCGTAGTGATCCTTCTGTTTTTAGCCTCCCAAGTGCTGGGATTACAGGCATGTGCCACCACGCCCAGCCTCAGGTGCTGTCTTAGTGTACCCTGCAGACTGGGCCGGCACAGCTCGCTGGGGATCAAACCCTGGCTGGTGTGCTTTGCCTAAGCAGGTGCTTTAGTCCACTGAGTTATCAGTCCAGCCCTAGCATGTCTGATTTCAACTCAACCCTACCAAAAATCCTGCAAGAAATATGGGACCATTTGTAAGTTTCCCAATGAGAAAAGCTAGGCCAATTAAATTACTTGTCCAAAGTCACTAGCTTAATAAATGTGCAGGTGGGATTTGAACCCAGATCTGGCCTTGAAACTTCAGTGCTCTCTACTGCTACATGTGGAAATATGTGGCTACATCTCTGGAAAAGATCAAGGTCCAGGTATCCAGAGGACACCCCTTTCCACTGGTGCTTCAGAGCAGCTGCTGAAGGTACAGGAGTCTTCGCCTTCTCACTCCAGTCCTTTGCTCTATTCCCACATACTCTGAAGGAAGGAATTTCAAGGACAGCAGCTTTCTTCAGTGATTCCACAAGCTCACCAGCTACTCACATGTTTTTCACATGTTTGTTAAATCACAGATTCACTTTGGGAGGTGTGGGTTGAAGATAGGGTCTTGCTGTAGAGTTCAGGCTGGCCTTGAACTCACAATGCAGCCCAGGCTGGCCTTGAACTCATGGGGATCCCACTGTCTCAGCTCCTGCGTACTGGGATTACATGTGTGCCCCCACATCTAGCTCAGAGGGACTATTTCTAATCCTAACCTAAGGTAAGTGGACCTCAGCACCCAATTTTCAGCCTTCACAGCAAGATGAATCTGGGAGTCCTCAGGAGAAGAGACCCATGGCGATAGATGACAAGATCACAGAGCTGGCACAGCCCACTGAGAACTGTCTTCTGCCTGGGTAGTTAGCAAGGGAAGGTCTCATGAGGCGACTGGGTTTAAACCGCAAATGACCATAGGACCCGGTATTGCCAGAAAGGCTGAGGAAGTGTCCTTCTCAGTCCTTTCACTGTATTTCCTAATCTGTGTGATTCATCTGGCTGCCCACACCCCAGCCCAGTGACATTCCAACCCCTCCCTTCTGCTTCAAGCCAGCCCTGGAAGAAGAACACTGCTGTTCTCTGTTATGGGGGTGGCCAAAGCAAGCAACTAATACTTGGCAGAGATGTGACTGTGTCAAAGTTCCACCAGTCATGACTAGGAGCCCATAGTAAGCCAGGCACCACATCTTCTAGGGGTGGCCTCAATTGGCCTTTGGGTAGGGCAGTCAGAAGCGGGTCTGTCACAGAAAACAGGTCTACCACTGTCTGTCGCCTCCAGACACTGGGAATGTTGGACGCCTTCAGGCAGCAGGGAACAAGGCCCTAGCCCACAGCTCCACCAGCCAGCATTAACTGAGCGTCTAATGCATAGGGCACGTGGGAAAGTCACAGCAAGAAGGACAGAAAGGGCTGGGGGTGAGCTCAGGGGTAGACTGTTTGCTCTGCATGTGTGAGGCCCTGGATTCAACCCCAGCACCACAAAAGGTCAAAAACAAGAAAAGGGGCTGGGGAGATAGCTCAGTATAATAAGAGCTTGCCTGGCAAGTGCAGGGTCCTGAGTTCAATCCCTGGT